GGCTCTGCAGGCTGCTGGGCGCTGGGGTTATTTAAAAGAGCGAGAGGAGAGCAAGGGCAAAGTGATGCAATCCTTTAAGCATGGCTGGGAATGCTGTGTACATGATGCAATCTCGTGTAACTGTCAGTCATGAATTGAGTAATCTGTTAAAGATGTTCCTACAGTTTTTTTTATTATAAAGAATAATCTATTTCTATAAGAAAATACATATGTATATTTTGGGATCTATGCATTCTTGCTACATTTGAAGCATTAATGAACAATTTTAATAAACTTTATGACTAGGTTAAAAAAAGTAGCTTGTTTTATTTCGAAGGCACGTTTAAAGCTAGACTAAAAGCAGGGTTAAAATTCTAGCTGAATCTGGCTCAACGCTGTGATCAGGCATTAGGATTTTTGTTGGTCCTGTGGCTTTCTCTGTGACTCAGAGAAAGGGAAAAATATCCCAAACCCAAAAAACAAAAACCCCAAGAGACACCCAGCAAAGAGCAGAGCTGGAAGCTTTAGCCGGTTCTTATTGCCTCATTTTATTTCCTCTAATCACTTGCTTTTGCTGCCGCTTGGGTGTTGTTTGGGGAGGAGGTGTTTGTGTTGGGGTTTTTTTTGCACTTCTTGCTGTTCTGAACGTGTACAGCGAGATGTGCTATCCAAACCATGACCAATCTTTGGCAAAGTAATACCAAGTCTGAACTGGGAGGGAGGAAGAAAAAGTAAGGGAGAGGAAGCTTGAAGCGAGGTTTTGGCTGGGGTGATTTTTTTTTTTTTTTTCTTTACAGAGTTTCTATTCTCTAACTTATGATTCAGCATTTCTTATGTTTGTAGTTTACAGGAATAAACATGAGAAAGTAGCATTTCTGTTGGATGTGCGTAATTTCGGTCTTGCTCAGGAAGCTCTCATGAAACCCGGCCAGGTGAGAGGCATATGAACAACTTACTTATCTTTTCTCTTGAGACATTTTTCTAAAAACTGTAGATGGAGTTCTTCTGATGAGAGGTGTTTGTTTCCGTGTGCATGCGCATTTGCTGGGGGCAAGCGACAGATAAGTGGGGGGGTGGCAGAGTAGGAGGAAGTTTGTAGCTGGCCATAGCTTTAGTTTAGAGAGAACTAAGGCTCTGACTGCCAATGGAACAAGCCAGCCTTGCCAGGGCCCCCAGGTTGTGTTATCGACCCGCTGTACGCTGCTGTATCGAGGTCTGTAAGAAGTTAACAGTCTCAAGCTGGTTACGTGGAGGGAGTTGGACAGATGATCGGGTCTTACTCAGCATTTTCCATTTTCCTGTTAGGCCAAATTTAAGCATTAAGTTTTTAGATCCAGATTCCCTGTGCCCCAGAAAAGAAACTCCTTAATTGTCTTTGCTCTATTGGACAGTTGAAAACAGAAGAGGTTTTCTGTATAAAGACAATGGACTTGAATTTGCTGCTATACATTCCAATACAAACAGCAGTGGATTGCAGAAAGACAAATCTTCAGTTTGTTGCTTATTTCTAGTGTTTCTTTAAGTAAAGCATGTTTTCTCCTGAAAGAACTGTTCTGCTTTTTTTGAGACTTGCGATCACAGCCTCCTGCGGGTGAATCTCCCAGAGCTCTTACTGAAATTTGTGACACGCTTCCTCTTCCCCTAATGCCTCCATAGCTCCTGCTCGGAGCTCTGCAGTAGTAAGCAGCAGTGTTAGTCCTGATACAGATTTCCCTCGTTTGCTTTTTAATTTGTACAGTGCAGTTAAGTTGTTTTTATGAGACCCTAAGAATAGATTTTCTTGGGTGAGCTAGCTCCTGCACCAGCATGACTCAAGTTCTTGCAGGCAAGATAGACGTTAGATCTTGTCTTGACTGTCCCTCGTGACGATGATTACTCCAGCCTCCTGTGGCTGTTTATTCTACTATTCTTCTAGTTACGAAACTTATCCACATCGTTAGATCCTATTTTCTTGTTGTGCTGTAGGCCATGTAATGTTACCCAAACTTACAAGCAGTGTTCCCAGTCAGATCTGAGTGCTGCTGAGGGTGGAATTGCTGGAGGACTGAAGATGTCCTCAGATACATTTCTTTTTCTTTCTTTCTTTCCTTCTTTCCTTCTTTCTTTTCTTTCTTTCTTTCTTTCTTTCTGACAAAGCTTCCAACAAAAGTTCAGTTTGTGGGGGCTGGAAGGCAGGGTAGATTGAAAGATAAGATGTACTAAAGGTATTTATATTTGTTTAAATAATAGTTCAGTTTTGGAGATAGAGCTCTATCAGGCACGAATGAGCTAATCCCCGTCCTTAAACTTTGCCTGCCACAATTCAGAAGAGCCAAGGCAGTGTCGCTCCAATTTAAAGAATGATGTTTAAATTACTCCTGTATTCCAGTGTCTCTCTTAATTAGGATTACAGAGTTCTCGTTCAGGAGGAAACTTGTGCAGCAACGAGTTTTTGTCAGAAAGATGCAGTTACAGACAGGAAAACTGACTACATAAATGCCCCGATTTTACACTAGTCACAGAAGGAATCCGTGAAAGAGTCGGAAAGAGAATTCCCAAAACCTTCATTCTTAACCTTGTATTACCCACATAACTTACATTTTAGGAGCTCTGTAGAGCTATTAATGCATTGAGGTCATGAAATACCCTGCTTTATAAACAACTATATGAAAAAGCCCCTGTAATTAAAACACTTCCTAGAAAAAGATAGTGTGAAAAAAAATAGTTTGGAAATTAATCTGAGAAGACTCCAAGCACTAAAGTAGACACAAGATTCCAAATACCTTTTCTAATCACAAGGGGAGAACTGGAAAATCCCTGTTCAAACAATGGCTTAGCTCCAAATATTGATACCGTTTCCCATTACAAATAAGATTCTGTTGACTGAAAGCAGTACTTGGTACAGCTCAGTTGTCTTCTCACAGGGTCTCTTGAGCTTCTTTTCCTAAAGCGACTCAGTACAGCTTGTGGTAAGACTTTGCAGTCTACATGCAGGCAGACCACGCAGAGAAGTTAAAGCTCTCACTCCAGTAGTCTGTTTTGAATTTTATGCAAGTTTATAAACAGTATTTCATTTGGGTTGGATTGTTTTTTTTTTTTCCCTTTCAAATTATTTATTACATTGACCGATTCATAGAGGTCTTTCTTGTTACTACTAAAATAACAGTTTCTTCCTATGTAGAAATAAGTAAGATCAAATCCCTAGCACTGACATCCCACTTCCAAAGTGTCTAGCACTGTTTTATCATTTGTTAGGTGTTTGAATTCTGTTGTGCTTATGTTCTGCCAAAGGAATCATAAAATTATAATTTTAAAACAAAATATTTAAAAACACAATTATAATTTTGTTAGCAGTTCTTCTATCTATTAATAGAAATTGTTACTCTCTGCTTATCTGCCCAAAGCATGTATAGCCCTGTGTAGCTCTGACACTGTGGTGTTGCTTTCACTCTTTTCCCACTGCCTTCCGTTACTGACTCTTGGAAGATGCAGGAAAATTTCCACTTGTTTCTATACTAATTGTTTCTCCTCTCTCAAATAAAATCACCCAAATTGCACACATGCACCAAAGGGTTATTGGGCGGGAGACTTGATCATATTTGATAACAGTATGGTCTTTTCCTCATTGAAATTCTGCAATAGCCTTCAGATATTGAAACTACAACCTGAAAAAAGCTTTGTGTGCAATGTTTATCTTTACAATTTCATTGCTAGAACAGCTGTCGTTGATGTGGATGTGTATAAAAATATGAAGTTACTTTCATACTAGCTAGTTTTCAAGCAATGTTTCATTAGCTGTGACAAGAATAAAAGTCAACGCAACTCAGTATGCTTTAATAAAGAGAAAAAATGTATATGAGGCCAAATTACATATCTTCTTTTGTTATTTATAGTGATATAGCTTAAGATACAATAAGCATTGTCTTGCATTTTCCTGTCATTCATATTGACACAAAGCGAGTCTAAAGCACCACCAAACTGGAACGGCAGGGTTCTGCATTCAGTTTGTACTGGATATAGATGATTATACGGTGGATGGGGGGTAATGATGAATTTGTTTCTAACTCTTTGCTACCAATTGCTAATGCAAAAATATTTTTATTACTACTCTCCTGAGTGTTAGCCTTTTTTGAGTTTAAATGCTTAACAGTCAGAATTTTGGGGCAAACCTTACACACTAATGTGAAGTGTGAAGAAAAACGTAAACTTACGCATGTATGTCAAAAGGGTCCTAAAACATTAATCAGGAAATCCAAACAAAACTAGGAACGTAGTTAACTACTCCCAAGGAAATAATTCAGTTCAAATTCTGAATATGTTTTTTAATCAATCAATAAAGTAAAAATAAAACCATGTGGCCAAAACTGTACATGAAATATGCAAGGGAATTAGTTTTCTGCTGAGAGACACTCACTGAACAGATAAGTGAAATCATTAAAAGAATGAAGTTCTGTTTAACTGTTTGGTGGGACCCAAAACAGTCTTGAGAGTCTAATCTTTGCAACATAAAGCTAAACCTTAGTGGAAACTCTACACTTGGATAATATCCTGAGGTTTTCTGAGGTTCCTGACTCTTTCACGTGAACTGAGGCTGTTTTGCGCCAGCCTGGGCAGATGAGCAGCACAATCTATGGTGAGTACGTAAACACCTAAAAAGATTAGATACAGCCTTGGGTTGACATCAGGATCATGTGAAATTTATGGTGTGGTGCTAGTCTGATGCAAAACTTCGTGAAATTTCAAGAGAGTTTCTCTTTGAGATGATCCTGGAAGCAGCAGCGCGGCTGCCTGGGGCACCACCCCTGGGGTTTGATGCCAGCACACCAGTCCTCGGAGCCACAGCCAGGCAGAGCCCTCAAGTTCAGCATAGCCATAATTCTGATTTCTCAGTTTGATCTATTGGAGACTCTATTGGAAACCAAAATGCCTTTCACGATTATTTCCCCACCTGCTAAATTGTTCCCATGTTTTCTTTGAATAAAAGGTTTTCCTTCCCTCCTAGAAATGTTGGTGGTTAGATTTGCCTGGATGTGAAAAACAATAGGGCTGGAATTCAAAATGAGGATAAATGGGTTAATAGCTGCTGAAGCTAATTAATTTGCACTTACAATAGGGACACATTTAGTTCCAAACCTTCCGAGGGGTTGTCACAATTTCACAGAGCAGCACCAAATTTAATCATCATTTATGTTAAATTTTTTCATTAATTTATATATTTACTATCAAAATTATTCATACAATAAATAATAACAAATTCCAATAATATTTTCTCACTAATTAAAAGCTAAGGAAGACTTTGATCTATATCCAGTTTTCTCCTTGTCCTGTCCTATCTGCTCTTGCCTCTGGGATTCCTGAATCACCCATTATATAGCTGTCAAGGCACTTTCTCAGAGTTCAGGGTATTTAAATTGGGGGTTTTAGTTAGGTCTCATAATTTCATACAATTTGCAGAATAAATCCTCTAAGAATTCAGAGTATAGAAATGTCAGTCAGCAGACCTGGTTGTGCTAGGCTCGAATGCAGACATCTCTGTACGTCATGCCAGTCAGAGTAAAAAACTGAATTTTTGATAGAGGCTGCAAGACGCTATGGTCCCTATCCCCATACAAACAAAGTGCAATGGCTTGTTTGTTTTCTATAAATACCTTGGGTTTGCTAGTATATTGCAACAGCAGTTCATTAAGCCCGTGGTAAGCAGCTCTTCGATGTTGTCTAGAAATTACAGTAACAGGAATCACAGTCTCCTTCACACAACGCAAAAATCCCTCTAACACCTCATCTGCTGTATTCTTCTCCTCCGTTAGCCCACCTGGGATCTGGGACCATAAAAGTTTTGTGATATATTTTCTATAAGCGAGCGGAGGAGCTTTGGTTTTAGAAATGAATGTCATGGTGACACGATGGGAAAACATTTCTGTGCAACATGATGAAACAATTACTTGGCTGAAGTAATTCAGGAAGGGAATCACAAGAACCAGAGAAAGTGCCCGGAGCCGGTTTGAGAAGCAGAAGGAGAGCAGCAGTGGTTCCCTAGCAGAAACATTGTTTTGCTAATTTCCCCAGCCTCTGCCATCCAGACAATAACTCGGTTTGATGTCAGGTGGATGTTTCTGACAGTGATTTGCCACAATTCTCTGAGCTTAGGTGTCTTATTTGAAACAGTGAAATAGAGATTCTGTCTCTGTTGTTATTTGAAATACCAAAGGCCAGAAAATGAACCTAGAATGTAATTTATTAAGATACTTCAGTGTGTCTAACATTTAAATGTGGAAGGAGCAGAATAAAATCTGTGGGATAACTTGGCACAACAAGGTGAGTAGAATTACAAAAAAAGGAGTAATTATCAAGGACTTCGGTTGCTTAAAGGAATGCAAGCTGGACCACAGCCACTTATGCTTAACTTCAGCACACAAACCAGCTTTTGTGCCAGCTCTGTGAAGAAAGATAACTTCCGAGCAGCACTGCTTTCTTGCTGCTGAGTTATTGATGACCACTCATGGTGGCAGAAAATACTTTTGTGCTTAAAGTTAAGGATAGTGCTGATTGTTGGGTTGGGTCCCCAAATCTGAAGGAGCAGAAGAGAAGGCTGAAGGCCTTTATTTGTGACTTTAGCTATTGGGTGCACAGCATCCTTAACCACTTTCAAAGCAAATTACATAGCTGCAGAGTTAATGAGTGCAGAACATTGACAGAAATTAAGATGCAAGGGATAAATACTGAGCTTTGAAACAAAAAAACCCCAGTTTCTGGTCCTCGCTCTTTCAGCAGTTTATCATATAACTTTAGATTATCAGTTAGCCCCTAAATGTAATACCAGCTGTATGCACATACGTGCATCTCTAGTTATAAGTGCAATTGACATAGCTGCAGGTATATTTGCCTATTATACTTAGATCCTGATCTTACTTATGTGCTTCATTTTATACATGTAGCTGTAGTGATTTCAGCGGAACTATTATTACTTGCATGAGTAATGATAAATGCATAGATCTGTATTTACATGGATCTATTTACATGCATCTGTATATACATGGATCTGAGATCACTGTGTGTCTGGGAAAATTTTTGTGCCTTGCTCAGTTTTACAGAATGTGCCCTAGCAAATTTTGAGCACTTTCATTTCATGTGTTTTCAAATTAAAGAGACTACCAATGCACACAGGCTGATTCATCTGTCTCTTCTTGTACAAACGGAGATGATGGTGGCTTCAGCATTTTTGCATTTCCCAGGGAAAAAAAAAAACCACAACGAAACACCTGACAAGTGGGATACTGCCAATGCTCCAACAGCTATCGTTGGGTCCAATTCAACAAAGTACTTGAGTGTATGTTCTACCTGAGCAGAAGCAAAACAATGCTGAACACAAGCTTTAAATTTTCAGATGTGCCAAGTGCTCTGCTGAACACATCCTTCCAGACCCTCAGCTGCAGCTGCCTGGCCTCTGGATTACTGCTGTGATGCAGCTGTGGCACCAGCAGAAATCCTGGGAAAGAAAACACGATAGAAAATCTGTATGTCCAGAAGGATGGTGAATGAGATACAATCAAACAGGCCAAAAGGAATCCTGATTTCCTCCTACTGTACTGAAGGAGCCCGTCCAGTTTGTATGCTGGCCAGGTCTGGAAAGCCACTGTTTCAGAGCATGGTGTTAGCACCTGGCTACTGATCAAAGGATTCTTAAGCAATAACCCGCTCCACATCAGCAAGAGCTGCTGCCAAGAACCGTGGACTTCTATGGGCTCAAAGACAACTGATAAAGCAGATGCTGAGAAAAGCAATGATGCCTGCATTGGGCAATCTGAGTGCTACTAATGGCTACTGGAAAATGTTATTTTTATTTGAGTTCTATGATTGCATAAGCCTGATTCGCTGAAGGCTCACAGTGACATGGTATTTGTACAGGGCTTGCTTTTTTTTTTTTTCAAAACATTTTATTTAGATGAACAGATGCTCCCATTTTACAGTACTCCTGTAGTAGTTTTACTCCTCTAGAAGTACCACTCTCCACTACTCAGTAGTTCTTCCTCTGTCAATAACAAATATGGGTCAATTGTGCCTTTCTCCAGAATTAGCTCCTGTGGATGTTGGCTTGTGGAGGATGGGGCACTCAGAATAGGTGGGAATGAGGTGCCCACACCTTGTGTACTACAGTCCTGTGCCTGCTTGCAGGGGATACAGTTCTTGAGCGAGGCTGACACTTTGGAAAGGGTTTGGCAAAAAGGACAAAGCAGCTGTGAAGAGGCCGGACTGAAAAGAAGGAAGCGATACCAAACAGTACATGGTTCTGGGAAGGCTATTGCAAGCAGTGGCAATGATGGGAACCATTTCCAACAGACAGGCTAGGGGCAATGAACTATTTTCTCACTGACCTCATAGTAACATGAAGTGAAAATTCCATTGTAGTGTTTTCTGCCAAGTCCTTAAAGGCAAAACCTTAGCAAATGGCTCCTGCTTTTACATTAATTCACAAGCAGGTGCTCTTCTGCACGAGCCCTGCAAGAGCTTTATTACCAGAGGTACACTAACTATTAAACAACCATAAGCTTAACCTGGTATTTACTGCAGGACTGTGCCTTTTTATTGCGCAGAGGGAGGGAACTCCCTTCTCAGCCCTCCAGGTGGTCCCTTCAGGGCAGGGTTGAGGCACATTGGCGAGAAGGGGTGGGGTTGGGTGGGAGAGGCTTTCATTGCTGCCCTACCTGTTCTGGGCATAAATTGAAATGATCAGTCTCTAAATCCTGCCAATTAGGCACGCTTTACTGGCATTAGAGTCAGTTTACTATGATAGGTAAAACTAAAATGTTTCTCTTTAAAAAAAAAAAAAAAAAGAGGTAAAATCCTGCTTTAACACATTCAACTCCCAGAGCAGGGGTAGCAGGGGGCAGCAGTGCACTCTGTAGGGTACCTCACCTAGCCCAGACAGGCAGGAGCAGGGCAGCATTCTGCAAAACAGAACGGCTCAGGGACAAATACCTTAGCACGGCTGTGCACCCTCTTCCAGCAGTGACTGTCTGTTAGGGAGCCTGCGGAGTAGAGCTGGAGGATGCAGTCTGCAGTCCCCTGCAGCACCCTCTCCGCTGCAATTAACTCCACTTTAACATTCAAGGCAGCATTAGATGGGGAGAAAAAAATAGTGGTAATCCTTGCCTAGGCTCCGCCTGCCAACAAAGCTCCACCTACTTGGGAGAGCAAAATGAGATGCTTTTTACAGGATTATGAAACTGCTAATCAAGGTAGTATCTGTGCTCTCAAGTTCCTATAACGAAGAGGGCAATATGGACCTCTGGGGTCTATTACTTCTTGGTTTCTGCACACAGAGGCAGACATTGTTCTATTTTTTGTACACTGCTCCCACTCTGAGGGTTATCTTGGTTACTACAAAGGCCAGAAATGATAGGGTTGGTTTTCTTCCTCAAAGAAAAATTATATCTCTGCAGCACTTGCTTCTGCCTGTGAAAATACGGGTATGCTGTGCTGCCATGCTGCCATGAAGCATGAGGCTTCATCCTTATCTGCATTCAAAGAAGAAGAGGGTGAGGGCCATCTCCCAACAGCCCCGTATTCCTTTCTTATGAACTATTCTCACCACTTAAACATTTAGTCTCTGCTGGTCCAAAATAAGCATTTCTGGTATCAGGTTTTCAGACCTTTGCAACCCTTACTTGCTTCAAAACAGGCTTTATCCTGAGAAGAGTTTGTCATTGGCACTTGGGTATGTGGAAGGTTTTTTTAGGAAGTGAAGAAGACAAATGGGAAAATTAACTATCCATGTCAAAAACATTTCATACTGCATAAAGCTCACCTATAAGGAATGCAGCCTTTTACTGGCCTATGTCCTGGGAACTCTGACTGACTCAGCCTCCTGCATCCACAGCTTGTCAAGATCCACAGTTGCTTGTAATCCATTCACTACTGTGTACAAATCTAGGGCAGAAAAGCCCATTTATTATACGACGCTTTACAAAGCAGTACTAGGTTCTTCCCTCCACTACCTACCACTTGTCTTGAGGGGAGAAGGGAGGTGATTGTGACCTCCAAATAAACACCTCTCTCAGCTAATTTCTGCTCTCCTCCAGCCTCCCCCTGCGGATTAAACATTAGCTAGGGATCTCAGGATCCCTGTGGCTTTGGCCATGTTACAGAGCTGAGCCAGCTGGTGAGACGTGGCATGGTGCAGGAGGGCCCTGCACTGGTCCTGTGCTAAGTGTTAAGCCCAGATGGCCACTTTTCAGCCTCTGCTGCAGAGACTCTGTCCCGCATTAAGTAGGTAGGAGTGATGACCTAGCGATTCTGGAGTAAGGAAAGCGAAGTCCTGTATCTGGAATAGCTACAAACTTGTTTCGGGATCTCAGACAAGTTACTTCACCTTTCTTTGCTTCAGTTCTTTTGCCTGCAGAAGGATACTTCCTGGATTTGGGAGAACAGAGGAGGGTGTCTCAGGTATTATTTGTTTAGAGAACTGTGAAATACGAGATAAGAGACCTTGACAATGCCATATATTATTTCAAGTTTATATTAAAAGCTAAATATATGAATTAATTCAGCAGGGAAAGTTTTCTGGTGAAATGACTGGAAGCACAACTGTCCCTCACTAAACACTTCCCAGGCAGTAACATGACCACACAGAGTTTGGCTCATTATATATGTAAAATAGGCAGATGCTATTAGAAAGTAATTTTTTTCACCCACTGAGTAGAGAAGCCTATCCCTCATGATGAAATCCTCTGCAGGGGCTGTATTTTTAGCATGCCTCATACTTCTCAAGGTAATTGAAATCACCCTGAAAGTTGGATACTATCTTCCCTTTTCTCCCCTGGAATCCGAGCCCTGTGTTCCCAGAATTTCACTGAGTCCTTAGCATTTTCCTTTCAAATTCGCCAAATTCCCTTCCCTTTGGCAGTATGTAAGTCCTGATGTTGGTGGGTATCGTCGCAGTTTTATTAAGTTTGTAATAACATGCTGCTCAGGGGCAACATGTCATGATAATAAACTGTCCACGTAATTAGGCCTGACTCGTCAATCAACATGGAAAAGAACTGAATGGAATCCATAAAAGCACCTTTAAGAGGCTGATGGAAACGTTTAATGAAAAAAAAATTAGCAGTGTTTTGTATTGTTAAGTATTTTGCAGAGCAGAAAATTAATTAGCACTGGAGAGAACACACTCTTCTGGAATGCCCGTGTGTGGCCCATTAGATCCCATTTTGCACTCTGAGTCATCCCTTCGCAGCCACTGATTCTGTGCGAGCAGGAGCAGTCACAATGGGATCAGGTTTAGTGACTTACTCGTGTGAGTAAGCAGCCATAGAGGGAAATTTCCCCTTGAGCAGTGGCCGGGGTACCACTGGCAAAAGCTAGTGAAATAACTTTTCTGTGAAAAAAAGTGCACATTTTTGCATATTATTATTATAACTTTTTTACTTTTCACTTTAGGAATTTTATTGTTTTAGATGAAATGCTAAAAACGTGTCTCTAGTAAGCTATATAAACCAGCAGTCCATATGTACTCCAGACTGATGATCTGAGAGGTCTGGCACTGATGCTCGGGGCCTTCCTGCACAGGAGAAATTGCCCCCACGAAGGGAACGCACATTTCCAAGATCTAAGTGAAACAGAAATAACAAAATAGTTCCTGGTGCGCTTAAGCCCTGAAACTGCACAAGCAAGTTACCACAGCCAAATCCAGCTCTGTCCAAGTCTAGGTGAAAGGTCGTCTACGAATTAGGAAGCAAACTATTGAGTTACCAGCATTGCAGCAACAGAATAAACTCTCACCACCCGATTGACTAAGACAGTGGGATATCACCCCTAGCTATTGGCAACTGGCCTCTCATCATTAACCTTCATTAAGGTGGTCATCTCCAAACCAAACAAATGCACAGTTCAGTTACTAATACAAAAGACATCAATTAGATTTATATAAGAGTATTGCAAAATATGAAATAATAAAAGCTGCTACCAACCAACAGCAGGAAGATTCATTGTCCTACAAGGTTCGCTTCTCAAACAGACAAAGCCTGGCTATTTTCGGGAAATTATACCTTGATGGGCGACAACATTTAACTCTGTGCACTCGATGCGGGGGAGAGGGGTACTGCTGGCATGCTCTGTCTATTTAAAACTGACAGCAAGGCGAAGGTTGGCACTTAACTGCATGAATCACCAACTACTGAAATTTAAAAGCTTGCATATGCAAATCATTAATTAAGCATATTAGCATAGTCAGTTACCCAAACTGTAATCTTAATCGTATCTCCAAGTTGGGCATGCAATCACACACCCATTTTGCAGATTTGCATTTGTGAGCATGGTTTCCCGAGAGCTAGGTCCAGAAACTAGTCTAATAATCAATTTTTCCTCACGTAGTTCCAGGAAGGAAATAGTGACATGATGCTGAGTGGCTTCCTCTCCTGAAAAGCAATGGGGAATTGTACAAAATCAGGAACTGCTGTGGACAGCTGAATGACAACTTGAGAGGGGTACATGGTGAGCTATACATGCTCTCATTTCATCTAATGCCCATCTTTGTGACTCCT